TTTTCCCTGTTAAAGTTATGAGCATAACAACTGGTTCAGGATCAGACTAGTGCTTAGGAAGCAAAAATGTGCACTAGACACCAGGACCTGGACCATCTTACTTTTGGTATTCTAACACTCCTTTTGGGCATTCAGGCTCAGCTGTTGCTGTTTTGTTCAACAAAACCAGCAATATCATCCAGAGGTAGTAAACAAGATTGGCTGTGGAGAACCATCTGGAGATTTTTTTTTTATTTCAAGATAGTGAAAGAATTTTAATGTGCTCTCAGACAAGGTAGTCTATCAATGGAGCATTAAAATTTTGATCCTTATTACATGCAATTTGCAGTCTGTCTGAAGAGATAGTATATAGTTTGTTCCTTTGCTTCTGTATCCAGTCATTTTTCTAGCTACGTGCAACTTCTGTACACCTGCTGCATTTCATAAAAAATAGGATGGTTCCTTGATTGACAGCGCTTGTCCTCTCAGCAGCTCTTTAAAGAAGCACACTTTGCATCCATGTTGAAGGAACGTATTAGCTGGAGTTATAAACTAATGACTGATATTTATGTTGCCTTTGAAATTTTGTCCCAAGATGCACTGAAAAGGATGCTGATGTGTGTAAGAGCAAATCAGTATCCACAAAATGAAGTAACACCACTATCCTGTAATGTATGAAATAAATTATATAAAGAGAATAATTTTGCTTTGACTTTTCTGTTTGTATCTATTATCACTAGGGGGTTACTATATAGTTGTTGGACAGAAATGTCAATTCCCTTCCTAGAGTTGTCCTTTTAAATATCTAGGCTTGATGTATCTTTTTGTGTGTCATCAGACAAGATGCTTCTCTGATGTGTCTTCTGTTATGGCCTTCCACCACTCACTCTCTTCTGAGAGCAGGAATTGGGAGATTGAACTGTCTGACTTATTCAGTTTCCCAGCTTTTATAGCACAGAAGTTTTCTGGCCTATTTATGTGGCTGTGTGGTGAAGCTGATGTTGCCTGGGAGGGTGGTAATAAAGTATTTGTGATGGAGAGGTCAAACCAGGCCCATAAATCTGAGCTGTTTCCAAAATGCAGAAGCAGTTTATTTTGGCCAAATTTCTTAACTGGTGTCCTGTTACTCAAGGAAAAGGCTCTGGATTTGATTAACTGCACACAAAGACTTGGTCTGTGTACATTTTCAGTAACAAAGAATCATTTGAGTTAGGTTTTTCTCCATTACTTGCTTTCACTTGCTGAGAAAAATGTGTGCATATCCAGTTTTGCAGTAAAACTAAAAAATTCTATGTGCTTTTGTCACAGGTGTACTGCCTTTAAACTGATGCTTCTTTCTAACATCTCATCAAAGTGCTGTCTATTTCTCTCCTGTATCTTTAATTAATAATAAACACTATATGTATGTAGCTTAAAAAGCAAATATGTCAGGGTGAGCCATCCTTTTCAGTTGAGACTGTTGACAGAGGAAGGTGGCAAACTGATAGGGAATGATAATTCAGCACAAAGAGAGAAAAATTAAGAACATCTTAGAGCAAACAGGAAGTTTAGTTCAAAAAAGGAATACATTTCCATAGGCTTAATATTAGAATGGGGCCATAGCAAACCCAGGATATTACTGTTAGATCACTTATTTACTTCTTCACCCCCACCTTTTTCAATTCCTGTATTATTTGCATGTTTAGAAATCTCAGGAAAAGTCTTTTGATGCCCAATAATGGAGGAATGAGCCGATGCCATAGAATTGTTTCTTACAAGGTCTGATTGCTGCCTGGCTGTGAAATAGTTAAGCTTTGCTGAGCCAGAACTCCTAACACCAATGTTTTAAAATGGAACTTTTGATTTTTAGTTCCTAGGTACTCAGGTGCCAGCTTTGGCTTTTGAAAAGTGCTCTGCACTTTTTGAAAACCAGACTGCATAAAGACATACTAAATTTTGAAATGAGAACTTATTTTTTTGGTATTCATATTATGTTTAAAGTTAGGCTTAATTCTTTTTAGTGCATGCTTCACAGTTAGTGACATCATATTATGTCAGCATGTTATTGTTACAGATTTTCAAGCAAAATAATTTGTATGAATAAAACCAGAAGACAAAGGATAAAAACAGGCTTGAAGGTTACCCAAGTGCAAAGGCTCTTCATGTAATGTGACTAATAAATATTTACACCAGTTTAATGTAGTAACTCCAATATTCTAAAACTAATTGTTTTGGTTGTGGTGTTGTTTTTTTTTTTTTTTTAAAAAAAAAAAAAGTGAGTAAATTATTTCATTACCAATAGTTTTGTCTCCCTTCTGGGTAATAAATGTTGACCATTCCCATATACAGGCATACGTGTGCCTATGTGCATGCGTTATTATTTGTTTTATTATTTGTGGAAACCACAATCTCCTTGTTATATTTTTATTCTGTACTACTTAGAAGCAGGTTAATTAATCAGCAGACCGTAAATTGGTGTTAGGCTTTTGATCACCTCCCTCACAAACCATTTAAAATTCCCTCTTGTTCCATGGAATGTCATTTTCAGCTGTGGCCACTGTCCTCCTGAAATGCTGCTTAGAAGAAATGAGAAACCAAACAGCTAATAATCACAGAACAAGAGACTCTTGCATTTTTTTCACTTGCACTCTGATGTGTGAGAACTGGATATTGTTTTTAGGGAAACCCATTGCTGCATTTTCCAATTCTCTAAATTGATTCCTTTTGCAATTAGAGAGCTTGTTCCTAGGTAAAATATTTTGATAGTGTGTCTCAATGTTTAACACTGTCAATCTCAATTTCTGCTTTTGGCTTTTTCATAACTTTCTACTGCACATAGTGTTTCTATTCCATCCCCCAGTTCTCTGGTTTCAATTTCAGATATTTGTAGGCTGTTATGCCCTCTCACAACCAAATGTTGTTCAGAATTTATTTTTTTTTCACTGGCTAAATTCTGCTTTGATCTGACATATTACAAAAGTACTGCTGACATTTCGTTAGCTAAGAATCTCAGGAGACAGGGCTATAACCCACAGTTATAGCTGTCCCTTTACAGGAAAAAAAAAAACAAAAGCCCTAAGTGTACTACAGTCTTGAACTGAAATTCTCAACTTTATAAATAAAATGTGTCTTCAGAAATTTAGAGAAAGCAACTGTAATTACCATGATTCGGAATGTATTCTAAGATCTAGGAATAACAACCAGTGGAAGGCGACTGCTGTCTTTACCTGAATTTAGAAACTGTGTCAGATCCTCCAGTTACATGGAATGATACTAAATAGCGCTCTGCCTTTACAGTATATTCAAAATGAAAAATCTCAGAAGTTTTCATCACAGAATGAAAAATAGTTGCTGTTGTGACACCACATTATTTGTCTCTGGCAAGTGTTATTCCAATGATACTTGGGAATCTGATATGGTTAAGGAAAACTGTGGTCTACCTTTGCAGCCACAGAAAGGTTTTAGAGCTAGAATTTTAATTCTAGCTAGAATTTTAATTCTAGCTCTAGCTCTAGCTAGAATTTTAGTTCTAGCTCTAAATTAAACTTGGGTAAACCACAGTTTTAGTCACAGATTTTTCAGAAGGAAGCACGTAAGCATGTTGTCTTCAGTGGAATTAAAGCATATGCTGGAAGTTATATCCTATCTGAATACAGTCAGCTTTTTGAATGGGAGATTAATAGATCACGTCATTCAGATTTTAAGCAAAATAAATAATCTTATCCAACTAGAATATTCTGCCCTAAACTTCAATTTTAGCTTCTTTCAATCACCCACCCTGCAGATGACTGAGGTTTCTGGAGGAACTGCTTGATCGATGTCAAGTCATCAAGTCTGTTGATGGCAATGAATGGTCAATGGCAATTCAGCATATCCATTTGAGATATGTAAAGCTTGGCTACAGTTCCACTATTTTCTTCATAGAAGCTGATGCTTACATCTTCTTAACTCCGAGTGCTGTAATGAATCATCCCAGGATTCTTGGGACAGACACAAGAAGTGCTAATATTCCTGTTGTTTGTCTGGTGCGCAACACTAGGTTTGTCGTTAAATGCAAGCTAGGATAAGTGTTCCTTTCATGAGACAGCAGACAGGAGATGCAGAACTAACAAGTCCTTTTATAGTGATAGAAAAATAAATGAGTTTTATGTTACATATTGCTAGAAGACAGACGCATGCAGGATGCTTAGTGTTGCAAAAAATTATAATAATTATAATTATAAAATTATAATAACTTTTTTCTTTTGCATGTTTTTTCAGTATGCTTTGGTAATTTTAATTTCATCACAGCTTATTTTAGGATGCATCCTGTTTGGTGGGTATCTACTTTCCTTCCAGGTTGAGTAATACTTTTGTCACACACAGCACTTTACTCTTTGAAACAGAATGTTTCACTGTGGATGTCTGATTGGTGTTTAGACTGTTTGATTTTTTTTACTTTGTTTGTTGTTTTGGGTTGGCTTTTTAATAAAGCTCTAAAACAAATCATTGTGTTTGCTGTCAAACACAAGTTAGTGCTGAGAACTCCTTTTTTCCACCCAGTAACATGTAGCTTTGTCAGAATGGCAGACCATACGTATGATAGCCAAAAGCTTTCAGTATGGCTCTAGCACTGATGAATATGACACTTGGTTGATCCAAAATTCCTGATGTCCATATACTGCATGAAATGTACTTTTGATGGGCTGCAGATACTTACGTACTTACAAGAGTCAATAGCCTGGCTCGCAAAAACATTCAATGAAGGTGCCTTACAGTGGACTAGGCTTCTGTTATATTCTGTCTTTGCACTGATCAAAATTCTGTTACATTTCCCATACATAACTAGAGATAATGCTTAAAATGTCTGCGCTAGTTTTTCATTAAAAATTCTAAGTGTTTTTTAATAGAAAAATGGTTTTGAAAATCGTGAGCCCTGAAACAGACAGACACTGAGGTATAGATGGATATATGTATGTTTAGCAATATCATAGATAGGCTAATTGGCTTTATTGATTTTTTCATGCTTGCATTTCTTGTTTTCTCTTTAAATCCCGGATCAGAGATTGATATTGAGCGTTGTGTTCGTGAGTCAATCAACCTGTTTCGCTGGACGCCGAAGAGTGCTACATATAGGCAATATGCACAGCCTCCACGGCAAAGCAATGAGAGCAACGGCACAAGAAGTTCCATGTCCTGCTTTTCAGCAGACTATCAGGAAGCACCTCGAAGTGACCTAGTAAGTGACCTGGGAATTGGAGGGGGTAGAATTGTTCAGACTACATGTTTCTCCCGCCCCAGGTGGGTTTGGGGTTTTTTTATCTCTTTAAAATTTAGACAGAAAGAAAATACCCATCAAATCTCAGTTATTGGCATTTATGTTGTCTCTTCCAAGCACAGGGGTTTCACACGTTCATCACATGTTCTGATTTGTTTGTCAGTAAGTGCATAGTGTTAGAGCCTATACCATAATATTAATTTTAATGAAAGTACAGCGAATGAAAATTAACTGAAAGGTTGTTGGGGTTTGTTTTTTCTGAACTTTAATTGCTTTGAACTTCAGCTTCTTTGATGTGTATGCCAATAAAATTGTTTCTTCTTGTGCTGTATTTCTGCCTCTCCCAGCTCCTGCTCCTTTGCCTCTGTGGTGTTTGTTACCACAGCAGACCAATGTCTACAACTCATCTGTAAAACTGCAAACAGGCTTTATCTTTGGAGAAAAATAGTAAAAACAACAATTTGCCAATGAGAAATAGCTAACTGGAAAGTGATGCAGGCAACTCTGGCTGCTTTTTCAGTCTTAGCATGAAAAGGTTAAAGGTATGACTAAAGTATTATGAGAGGTAGTATATGTTATATGATTTTGTCTATGTTTGACTTAGCAAAGAATATCTAGTGGCTAACAGATATGTTAAATAGATACTCAGTTTAGCAAAAATATTTTTCCTTCTCTCCAGTAAAATCTGATGGTTGTTTCTCTTGTCAAATACACCATCTTAAGAATGGTGATTTGAAATGACTGCTTCCCTTCCTCTCAGGAGTATAAATCTAGTCATTCTCTTAAACAGTTTTATTTATTTGGTTTTTTTTACCTCCATGTTCTCCTACAATTGGAATTCACTCACAAGTACATTGTAATACTAGGGGTAGTATATATAGACCTGACATATCTATTTGGTCAATTGCATTGGGCTTTAGTCTTTCCATCTGTTTTCCCAACTGCTAAGAAACTAAGTAGCGTATTGGCACTCAAGTATATCTTAATTTTTAAGTAGTACTTAAACCTGAATCTGATATTCAGTAATTTTCATGGTTTTTAGTTTTGATTTTATTTGTATAGTTGTATGTTCTGGAAGCTTTGACCACAAATCTAGGGCTCCGAGTGTTAGATGTGCAAATGCAGAACAAAAGGAAATTCAAAGCACTTAGAGTGATTTAAGAACTAGGTGGATCTAGGAAAGCATCTGGGAAGAAAAATGAGAGGAGAATATTGGTTATCATCAAACAGGAATTATAGCCAACACAACTGCTGCTGTGCTGTTCTAGAGAGATGTAGAGATTTTCTGAAGGAGCTAAGGGCTGCACATTCATAGAATAATTCAGATAGGACCTTAGGAAGTCATCTGGTACAAATTCCTGCAGAAAACAAGCGCAATACTGAATTCAGATGGGATTGCCCATGGGTTTGTTATGTCAGATCATGAAAACTTCCAGGGAAAGAGATTATGCAGTCATTCTTGACAGCCTGGCCTGATGCCTGAAGGTACTAATGGTGGAAATGGTTTTGTATATATGCTAACTTTCCTCAACGATATGACAGCAAGAGACTAAAAAGGCAAGTCTCCTCAGTCCTAAGGATGTGATGGGCAAGCAGGGTGAACAGAGTTGGAAATAGCAAGGAGAGAGATGGGAGAAAGCAGCAATAGTCTGCTGAACTGGTAAATAGAACCAAGGTTTAGATTTGTAGCAAAGATAAAAATTCATAATTTTGGGTCAAGCAAAGTTTCTTTCTGTATTCCCAATAAATTTGTTTGGTATTTTTTTACTGGTAGTCATTTTATTTTCATTCCAGAAGATGTGTTTGTTTATAATGCCAGTAACTAGGCTCATCTATTCCACAATTTCCAAGAAATTAAGCTAATGGTTTTGGTATGTTATAGAGAAGAAAAATAAATATTATAACCTCTGTTTTGATTTCTACTGAACAGCACAGCACTTTTAATTTACTGCCATGTAACTGATGGTTTAACTTCTTTTAAAGATCAAGTGTATTGGATCTTTTGGGTAGAGCTTTAGGTTTTTTTTCATAGAATCACAAAATCAAAGAATCAAAGAATGGTTAGGGTTGGAAAGGACCTGAAGATCATCTAGTTCCACCCCGCCTGCCATGCACAGGGACACCTCACACAGCACACTACTTGTTTTGCTTTGGTTTTGGTTTTGGGTTTTTGTTTCTTGGTGGGGGTTTTGGGGGCAGGGAGGTTAGCTTATCATATGGTGCAACACTATGAAATTTATATAGAAATGGAGAATGTATTTAGGCTTTTTCTGTATCAAAGAGGAAGCTAATCTCATGGGTACCAGAATGAGAAAGAAGACAATTCACATGTTAAGTTACAGTCTACTACTGAGAGCAGTATTTGCTCTCATTGCTATATTTCTGTGTGCTAGATTTTGAGACACATACATATAAGCTGTTACGGTTCTGTCAGTAGACATGATACACATTTTAAAAATACTGTGTAACATGTGCCATTAGCAAGCTACCTCTCAGCTGTGACCAGTTCTGTACTTCTGGATATTTGTCTTTGTGAGATGACACTTCTCAGGGTTTTGAGCAACACTGCTCAAATAAAAAAAATTAAATTCTTAGTGAAACACACTGTTTACACCCAAAAGTGTTTGGTCTTTTGGTTTTGGGTTGGGTTTTGGTTGGGGTTTTTTTGGTGGTTAGTAGGGGTTTTTTACCCTTAATCCTGGACATGTCCTCTAATTGTTGTTTGTTGCCATGAGGAAGCTTATTTCCTACTTGAAAGCAGTGGAATCTGAGATCAATCTTTAATATGCACAGTAGCCTTTAATGCATTTTCTAAAACACCATTGTGCCTTTGCTGGTCAGTCTAGCTCTTAAAAAATTACTTTGCTGTGTCTCTGCCTTTTTCATTGGTCATTATTTTGACAAGCATTTTACATTACTTTTGTATCTCCGGCTTTATATTTGTGGGTCACCTCTGTATTTGAGGGTGGGTAAGGTAAGAAACAATTCCTTTTAGAAAGAAAGCTGTGGGTTTGCTTCTGAAGGTAATTTATGATTTCTTGAAACATTAAGTATTTAGTGTATTTAATTCTGAACACCAGCTGTCTTCTACTCCTATACCTGTATCTTCTTTCTAAGCTGCTTCAGTTAGTTTCTTAAGTGCTTTTTATTGGCTACTCATTTATATGTGTATATCTGCATTTTATGATGCTTTGGTTAATAATAACATGAGAAATATTTGCCCCTGGGTGAACCCTTTTTCTGCCTAAATAAGCAGTCAGCAAAACAAAATTGTTTTGACTCTTTTTCTCACTAGTGTGACTTAGTTTTTATTTTAGTGGCATCTGCAGCTTTGTAAGTAGGCTTGGGTACTCTCTTCCCTCCTGGACTTCTTGTGATGCTTAACCATTTACTCTTTCAGCCAGGAAGCATAATTCTACTGAGATAAAATCTCAAGGAGGAAATAGTTTCAGGGAAAATGAATGTACATCTTAAGTGGGTTTGCATATTTATTTTGAGAAAGGTAAAGTATCAAGAATGGAAAAAAAACATCAAATTCCATAATTTTAGTAGCAGTCTGTTCAGCTTTGTGTCTGTCATTTTTTCTTGAGCAGTACACAGATTGGTTTGGTTTTTTCTTCCTAAAAAACTTTTTCCCTTGGAAACTTCCAAAGTGTTTTCAAAGTATTTTTGTTGAATATCCAGGCCTCACAGAGCCAAATAACACTTGCCATGAAACAATTTTCTTCTATGCCCCTTTCTCCATTGTTACAGACATGGTAGATGTACACTCTCTCCGGCTACCTGTATATTTCTAAATAAAAGCAAGAGTGATGCAATTTCTTTATTGATGACTGCTCAAATGTGGCAGGTGGACTCCCAGAAATCCCAAAGCAGATAGAATTATGCCTTTATCTTGGTCTTTGACTACCAATCCAGTTTTCAAGTGTAAGAGTACCTGTTGAATGTTGGGGAATTAAAGCTTTCAGCCAGAGAAAAGTCTACCAGATGACTGTTGTTCTTTGCACTGATGTGAATGCCAACAGTCCAGTTTAGCTTTTGATTTGGTAAAGAGTAGGAGAAATACCTAAGTAGGAAGATGAATTAATGGCTTTATGAAACAGTACAAACATGAAAAACACTTGTTTTCATCAAAAGGTAGTATCAGCAAATTTTCCTGGTGGTTGACTTTCTTTGCAGATAATCAAGGGTAGCTTGCATGACTGACTTCTTATAGATGGGAATTTGGACCTATTGGCAATAAATATATCAGCACTCAGTTGCTTCTAACTTCCCCTTTGCACCTAGAGTATATTTGTCCATATAAAAAACATATTGCCTGGGTTTATATTGAGTCCTTTAATAACTGGTGTGTAAAGTCCATCTATTCTTCTAAAAGAAGCATGATGAGTAGTGTATACTCACATTTCTCTTTCAGTGTATAAGCTAGGAAATGTTCAAGTTCCTGCCCCTCTACTCTGCTCTCATGAGACCTCACTTGGAGTATTGTGTACAGTTCTGGTCCTCAACATAAAAAGGACATGGAACTGTTGGAGCAAGTCCAGAGGAGGGCCACGAGGATGATCAGGGGGCTGGAGCACCTCCCATATGAAGACAGGCTGAGAAAGTTGGGGCTGTTCAGCATGGAGAAGAAAAACAGAACTTACAAATTGCTAGTCTCAGTACATAATTTCCTTCCAAATTCAGAATATCAGAGATGACAATGCTTTATAATCAGAAAAATGCTTGATTTTCTGGATAATGTGTTCTCCTGTGGAGAAGGACTTGGGGGTGTTGGTTGATGAGAAACTTAACTTGAGCTGGCAGTGTGTGCTTGCAGCCCAGTAAGCCAACCGTATTCTGGGCTGCATCAAAGGAGCGTGACCAGCAGGTTGAAGAAGGTGATCCTGCCCCTCTACTCTGCTCTTGTGAGACCTCACCTGGAGTATTGTGTGCAGTTCTGGTGTCCTCAACATAAAAAG